AAAAAATCCTTATTAATGAAAATTTATATATGTGATCAACTATGTTTGTAAATCATATGATGTGAGACACCCCAATGACTCATGCATTTGCTATGAAAAATCTTGTGATTACTATGTATAGCAATTTTTTAATTGCGTGTGAAACTTCAATTTTTCAAAATAATAAAAATTAAAATGATATAAAAGATATAAAACAAAAAACAGTTGCACCGCTTTATAACAATTTCTTTCTCACTCTTTTAAATCTTTCAAATTTTTTAATATATAAAAATTCTTCAAAATGCCTAATAGTTTATTATTTAATAATATTTTAAATCCTAATCAAGATTCTTTACCATTAAAATATCTTAATAAGCTTGTGAATGATTTAGCCGATTTGTTGAATGAATCAGATTTCTATGATGTAGAAATTAAAGTTGGAGATGCCGAAGCTGATGTTGATGTTAATGATGATGATGATGATGATGATGATGATGATGATGATGATTTTGTCGTTGTTAAAACTTTTAAAGCTCATTCCAATATTTTGAAAGCAAGATCTTCATATTTTAAAGCAGCATTATCAAATAATTGGATGAAAAAATCTGAAGATGGAATTATTTTATTTGAAAAAAAAAATATTTCTCCAAAAATATTTGAAGTTCTTTTAAAGTAAGAATTTGAATAATTAATTAATTAATTAATCATGGTTTATTTTAAAAATTAACTTTAAATTTTTTTTTTAAAAAAAAGATATATTTATAATGGAATTATCAATATAGATGATTTGGATCCAAATGAAATTATTGAACTTCTTGAAGCAAGTGATGAATTAAACTTTAATGAATTGATTGAGGATTTACAAAGTTACTTAATTGTAGAAGAAAAAGAATGGATTCAACAAAATTTAATCTATGCTCATAAAATTTCATCAAGGCATCAATTATTTAATCTACTTCAAGATTACTGTAGTGAATTAATTTGTAATGAACCAGAATTATTTTTAAAGTCTAGTGATATTTCAACAATAGAAGAATTAATGCTTATCTCTATATTGAAAAGAGATAATTTAAGACTAGATGAAATTGATATTTGGGATTATATTATACAATGGGGAATGGGACAAAATGAAAAATTGGATAAAGATATTTCAGAGTGGAAAAAAGATGATTTCATAGAGTTAAAAAATATATTAAAGGATATCATCCCATTAATAAGGTTCAATGAAATTTCTTCAAGTGATTTTTATTATAAAATTTCACCATTTAAAAAAGCTTTTAATAAAGAAGTGTATGAAGAAATCCTTCAATATCATCTTACTGATAAATGGAAACCAAACATACTGGTTCAAAAAGGTCCAAGAGCAATAAAAGGAAAACTTTTAAATTTAAAATCGAAGTTTTTAATTTCTAACTGGATTGATTGGAAAATAAATATATACAACAAGAATGATCCACAATATGAATTTAAATTAATTTATAGCGGAACTAGGGATGGATTTACTAGGTCAGCATTTGAGGATAGATGTTACAATATCAAACAAACTATAACAATCACTTGTACTAAACAAAATTATTTTTTTCTTGATTGAAAGGCTCGACGTATGCGTGAAAGATTGATTATTAAAGGTTTTTTTTTTTACAATCAATATTATCATTCATTATTGATGGATAGATATTTGATCTTTTTTTTATCTCACTATCTACATCTACACTACAAAACAAGACAATGCTTAAGAAAAAACCTATACCCGAATATAATATAGTCAGTACTAATTAAGATTATGCTTTGATAAAACGAATATACACGGTAAACCAATGTTTTTATTATCTACCTATTAAAATTTATCAATTTATTAAGATTTTTTTAAACCGATGTTTTTTTTTGTGAAAACATAGACTCGGTTTAAAGAGTTATGACTGTACGGTATTTTTATTTATGTTTTTGTAGTGTTTGTTAAATTGCCCACACAAATTTTTTCTTACAAAATAACCAATATCATTTTGTTGTTACACGTCATAAAATTTTTTTCATCATTATCATCAGAAAGAAGAGAATTTTTATATAAAATTTATAATGAAATGTTTAATAATACAGAGGTTGGTTTTGATTATTATTTTTTTCACTAGTCAAAAACAAGAAAACTTTCTGAAAATGGAAATCACATTGTTTATTTACGAGATTAGATTAAATGATGCAATTTATAAAGAAGGCAATCCAAAAAAATGTAACAAGTGTAAATTGGTAAATACTCTGATAGATTCTGTGAAGGTTGTATTAGTTTACGAGTCTTTTTAATACTTGGTTATCTGGAAATGGCATAGTTAATAACTTTATTCAGCAATGTCAAATGAAGTCATTTTGCCATCTTTTATTTTAGAATGGATACCTCTTGAGCAATTTGAAGATATAACAAAATTGACTAAAGGTGGATTTAGCTCATTCTATACTTCTGGATGGACTAGAGGAGGGATAATTGATTTAATGAAGAGGAAGATGATGATGATGATGATGATGATGATGATTTTGTCGTTGTTAAAACTTTTAAAGCTCATTCCAATATTTTGAAAGCAAGATCTTCATATTTTAAAGCAGCATTATCAAATAATTGGATGAAAAAATCTGAAGATGGAATTATTTTATTTGAAAAAAAAAATATTTCTCCAAAAATATTTGAAGTTCTTTTAAAGTAAGAATTTGAATAATTAATTAATTAATTAATCATGGTTTATTTTAAAAATTAACTTTAAATTTTTTTTTTAAAAAAAAGATATATTTATAATGGAATTATCAATATAGATGATTTGGATCCAAATGAAATTATTGAACTTCTTGAAGCAAGTGATGAATTAAACTTTAATGAATTGATTGAGGATTTACAAAGTTACTTAATTGTAGAAGAAAAAGAATGGATTCAACAAAATTTAATCTATGCTCATAAAATTTCATCAAGGCATCAATTATTTAATCTACTTCAAGATTACTGTAGTGAATTAATTTGTAATGAACCAGAATTATTTTTAAAGTCTAGTGATATTTCAACAATAGAAGAATTAATGCTTATCTCTATATTGAAAAGAGATAATTTAAGACTAGATGAAATTGATATTTGGGATTATATTATACAATGGGGAATGGGACAAAATGAAAAATTGGATAAAGATATTTCAGAGTGGAAAAAAGATGATTTCATAGAGTTAAAAAATATATTAAAGGATATCATCCCATTAATAAGGTTCAATGAAATTTCTTCAAGTGATTTTTATTATAAAATTTCACCATTTAAAAAAGCTTTTAATAAAGAAGTGTATGAAGAAATCCTTCAATATCATCTTACTGATAAATGGAAACCAAACATACTGGTTCAAAAAGGTCCAAGAGCAATAAAAGGAAAACTTTTAAATTTAAAATCGAAGTTTTTAATTTCTAACTGGATTGATTGGAAAATAAATATATACAACAAGAATGATCCACAATATGAATTTAAATTAATTTATAGCGGAACTAGGGATGGATTTACTAGGTCAGCATTTGAGGATAGATGTTACAATATCAAACAAACTATAACAATCATGAAAATTAAAGAAACAGGTGAATTGGTTGGTGGCTACAATCCAGTTTGTTGGAATATAAAAGGAAGGCCTCCAAATGATTATTATTCAATTGATACTGATAAAAGTTTTATTTTCAAGATTGATGAAAATCAAATAAAAAATTTAATATTAAGTAGAGTTGTAAAACCTAAATTTGCAATATTCCATGATAACCAATATTTTAACATTACTACAGATAATATTCAATTTTATGAAAGTGGTATACATTTTAATGATTTACGGTTTTATAAAAGTTTTAGCAATCAACCTTATTGTTTTTATTCTTTTTTGAATTCTTATGAAAATAATTTGAATCTTAGAAATAATAAACAGACTGTACACTTATTAGAAGAGTATGAAGTATATAGATTAGTAAAAATAAAGTAATTCTTTAATATTTTATCAAGAATATAGAGGAGGAAGTAGGGAAGCTTTGGCACCATCTACGCTCACAAATAATGTTTAAAGACTGACTAAAAAAAATAGATTATCAAGAATTTATTTGATAATTTTAATTATATATGGGCATTATTATATGTGCCCATAATTTTTATAGAAGCTGAAATTATACATTATATATTATTATGTTAACCAATTCAAAGGTTAATCATAGTAAATGCTTCATACACGAGGGGTCAGGCATCCCCTAATCTGCCTAATTAACATTTAATTTAAGTATTGTAATATATATTCCATACCAAAGAATTTTGTCAGAATAATCATTCGCATAATTATTATTTTCTAATTCAGTTAACGTCAATATAGTGAAAGAAGGTTCTAAAGATTACAATCCGGCCAAGATAGTAGTTGCTTGTTTGATTGACTAATATTTCAGCACGTCTAATTAATTTTATGAATTAATTAATTATGAATTGTGGAAATCAAATTCAAACGTTTAAATGCTTTCGATTCTAATTTCTATTTTCTGGTCAATAAAAATAGTTCTAATTTTGGATTTTAAAATTATTAATTATTTATAATATGACGAATGACGATGCTTGAAAATAAAAACAATTTTTTTTGTTTGATGTCATGTCAATGCATTGCAAAAATTCCCATCTGTTAGAAGTATTGCAATAAAAAAATTTTATGATAACAAGATGTTGATGATTATGATGATTTGACATTCGAGATTATTGATGGTAGAAAATTTATTGCGCATTTATCACAAGGTAAATTGTAAGTTAATTATTTATTAATTCACCTAGACTTTCTAAAGCTTTATGTTATTTTTATAGTAAATGTCTAGATTAGAAATTTTAGAAATTTATCACAACATTTACGGAATGGTAAATTTTCTTCTCCTGTGAAAGGAATATTAGAGAATGGTGGTGCATTTGTAATATTGGGCAAATTGATTGATTTTAATGATATTTAATTAAATCATCAAACTTCTCCTATGACAATCTAATAATCCCTTGATGTGGACCTGGCAGAGGAATTTCCAAATCATCATTAGAGGTTGGTTGGAATCGTCCAAAAAAAAAAATCCTTAGTCGACTAAAAATTTTTTTTAATAATAATATTTCTTATTTTTTTTTTTTTTAATTTGCAAATTACGAATTCATTTCCATTTGAATCTTCACTTTTTCAAAATACTTCCACACAAAACCATGTGTTGCGATTCGTTTTTTTAAAAGGTCTTCTGGAACCACCGCTTAAATCATTGGAACTTGAAGCCAATGAACTATTGGACCTTGTATCGGAAGTGTTTATTAGTACACATGTAAAATTATCACCACCATTGTCGTCATCATCATCATATCGATGGTATTGATACTCTTCCACATAGAAATTTTCCATTTTGAATGATAAAACATAAAACTCGTAATTGGTCAGACAATAATAATATTAGCATAGTATTAATATTAGCATTAGTATTAGTATTAGTAGTATTAGTAGTATTAGTAGTTGACTAATTAGTCGACTATTTTAGTAACTCCAACCTCTAATCATCATTTGTTGGAATTGATATAGTAATTGATTTGAATGATTTTAAAAAAGAATCACCAACAAATCTGGTTATAATTGGACATAATATATTTAATGGTTTACCTTTTCCAAATGATACTTTTGATTTGTTCATCAAAAAATATGTCAAGCTCACTAACAATTGATCAATGGTGTTGGATTGAATTATTAATAAATATAATAATGGGTTATATTATGATGTGATAAAGAGAATATGTTTATATGATTATTATTCATTATTATTATTAGGAAAATGAACCCATGCCATCTTCTAAGGGTCCAGTGACAACAAAATTTATCACTGTAAAGAACCATTTAATAAGCTGCTTAATGTTATCAGGCTATTTAATAGCACAAATCATGAGATATAATAGATGGATCAATTCATAAATCTATCGAAGAAAAATTAATAACTACAGATAAAATAATTGAAATTAGTCATCAAATTAAAAATTCTACGTTAGGTGGTCATGGTGTGGTTGGTGAAATGGTAAAATATATTATTTTGTAGTGGTAATTTTAATAAATTAATATAATGCTTTTATGATGGCGAATAAATAATCTTTATTATTTGATTATATAGGTGAGACAGGTTCTGACTGATTCAATAGAAATTATTAAATCTTATCTCTCATCAATCATGGAGATAAGTTTAGAAGAATATGATGAAACGATTAGGCACTTAGATGTTGAATATAAAACCTGTGTAAAAAATTTTAGGTGATATTTATAGTCGTTCATTTCTCCCTTTATTGATACTAAATAATATATTTATTATTTAGAATATACAGAAAGAAAAAAGATGATCGAATTATATTAATATAGACTATATAATAAGAACAATCAATTATTTTTTTGTAAAATTATAATATAATATATTTATTTATTGTAAATTCAAAATTAAAATTAGGCTTAATCTTAATCTGCATCGAAAAAAAATCAAGGATTTTCTTCATATTCTTCAGTCACATCACTTTCTTCAAAGTCTTCAAAATCTTCATCGACTATAAAGTTATTATTTGGAAATGTTTATTTTACAAGAAAAATTTTTTATAAATCATCTTTCATTAATATTCAATTATACCTGAATCATCTTCATCTTCATCGTCAACATCCATTTTATCAGTTGATCTATTTTTACCAGATGGCATCACTTCATCATCATCTGAGTCACCAATTTCATTAATAAGTTCAGCATAACTGACTGTGCCCTAAAAATACATGTATACATATATTAGTAAACATTTATTATAACCTTATAAATAATTTTATAAATTCAATGTTATTATTATTATTATCATAAATACTTCATCAGGTGATTCAATAATTGTATGAATATTCTTTTCTTTTAAAAATTTAAATAAATTTTCAAATTCTTGTCTATTATGAAAAAAAAAAAACCAAAATCACATTAATTACTGCATTAATTAATATGTCGTAAGTGAAAAAATGAATTGCGTGGATTTGAAATTTTATAATAATAATCAAAAATGGAAGAGTTTGGGTGCGAGATTCCCTCTATTGATTGGTTGATTTAATTCTCACACACAACATATATGTAAATTAAATAACTATACCGATTGATGCTGGAGAATTGATACTCCGTGCCATTTTTTGTATGAAATTTTATATCAAAAGTTCTAGCTTGTGGTACTGCTGTACTCTTCTTGGATTGTTGTGATACTCTATATACACACAGAGAAAAGATTGTTAAACTATATTTATGCTATTTACTCTACATAATTAAATATTTTAATATCTTAAAGACCTGGAAAATGAAACACTAAGTGTATCTTGAATTGGTATGTATGTAGGAAGTTTGGGAATGAACATAAAACATTTTTCAAGTGGGTATAAATAACCCTCATTTGCTTTCAAAGAACATTTAACTGCTGACTTATCCTCTGAACTAAAATTGATCAATCAATTGATTGATTTGTTAATGATTAGTTGATCGAAAATATTAATAATAAAACAAAACAAAACAAAATAATTAATGAAGAACCTTAAGAAACCTCCAGGTTTTATTATTTTCTTTTTTGTTATTATACTAAAAATAAGACTAAATGTTTTATCTAAAGGTTTCTCGTATTTAGGTTCCAATTTACCTTCAAATTCTCTCTCATTTACCTCACTATTATTATTATTATTTTTAAAAAAAGTATTAAATAATAAATCATAAATATAATAAAAAATTAATGATGATGATAATTTAAATGCTAATATATACTCATCAATATTCAAAAATATGTCAGATTCTTGTTCATTTTCAAATTGTAATACTAAGTAAGGGTATGATGTCTGACCTTGCCTTAATGGTGGATCTAAACCAATCTATTTAGATGATGATAATTAATGATAATATTTAATTAATCAACTATTAATTTGTAAAATAATAATTCATCAATATTAAAACAAAATTCAATACTAGATACATTACAACAAACATTATATGGTGATCATCAAGTTTTGGCAATAGAAATAAATTGACAATAATATTATATGGTAATTTGTAATCGTATGATTTTCCTCGTAATCGGAAGAAACTTGCAAATAATTGAATATCATATCGCCCACTAAAATAAATAATTTTTTATTGATTATAAAATAAAATAAATCGTTAATAATAAATCTTTACATATATGTGTGTGTGCGCTTGAATAAATGATAAACATACCGAGGTGTAAGCAGTAAGATATTTTGAAATAAGACAATTTCTTCTCCTGAAACTTGTCCAAGGTCTGCTTTGTGTTTAACAGTTTCATGAAACAACTTAGCATATACGAAGAAAAAACAAAGATGAATTGATTAAATCAATCAATTACTAAATAAACAAATTTATTAATTGATTTTTTTTTTTTAAAAAAAAAGAATAAAAAAATTCAAAAATGCCACGTAATAAATTTCTTGCACCTGGAATAACAGCTTACTCTCGTAACAAAGTTTATGCAAAAAAAGCATTGTATAAACGTAAGAAAACAGCAATAGAGAAGTCAACAGCTAAACCACCTACTACTAAAACAGTTTCTATCGGAGGTGATAAAAATGGTGGACAACGTGTTGTTCCTCTGGAAAAAGCTCCAAGATTCTATCCTGCTGAAGATGTTCCACATCCTAAAAAGTCTCGCAAACTAAACAAACCAACCAAACTTCGTTCCTCCATCACTCCTGGTACTGTTTTGATTTTGTTGTCTGGCCGCTTTCGCGGAAAACGTGTAGTCTTCTTAAAGCAACTTCCAAGTGGTTTACTGCTTGTCACCGGTCCATTCAAAATCAATGGTGTACCATTAAGACGTGTTAATCAAGCTTACGTGTTGGCCACATCAACAAAAATTGATATCTCTACTTGTTCAGTAAGTTCGTCATCATCACTCTTTGATATTTATTATAGGTTTATTACAAATATCATGTGTATATTTATGTACACGTTTTTTTAATAGTTTGAGAAATTTGATGATACATATTTTAAGAGAGAAAAGGAGGCTAAAAAGAAATCTACAGAAGAAGAATTTTTTGATCAAGAACAAAAGGTACTATAATAATAATCATTATTCATCATTATTACATTAAAATAGTAATAAATTTAAAATTAAAAATAAATTTTTTTTATTTAAAGACAAAGAAAACAGTTTCAGAAGTCAGGCTTACTGATCAAAAGGATATTGATGGAGGAATCGTTGCCAGCTTAAAAAAAGTTCCAGATCTTGCTGATTACTTGGCTTCTAGATTTACACTTACAAAAGGTCAACACCCTCATAAAATGGTTTTCTAAATAATAAAATAAAATAAAATGTTCATGATACTAAATTAAAAATATTATATTTATACAAAAAGATTGAGGTTTTTTTTTGGATTTAATAAATAATAATTGTTAATTTTCTATTAAATTTGATTTTATTTCAAGAAAAATGCACATAAAACCCTTTAAACCTTTAAATAGACTCGAAAGATTTTATTTTCACCAAAGCAAAAAAAAAAAAATATTCATCTTGTCTAGGTCAAAGATGTTGTGAAACTTTTTTTTTCATTTATATAGATGAGGCGCATGAAATATCAGACATGTTTGAGAATTATAATGTTATCTAGCATTCTGCAAACGAAAAAATCATATTTTAACGCTTGAATAATTATATACCCTTTACTTCAAAAGTCTCTATGAATTAAGTCAAGTATCCACGTCTGCTTGTTAAACTGGGATGTCAACTGAGCACAATTGGTAGAACCAGTGTATTTTATTCAAATCTCAGTTGAGAAAATTTAGGTAAAATTTATTCTCTAACATTTATTGCAATATTAATAACCAAAGCAATAGAAAGAAATACAATATCATCCAAACTCATCTCTATCTGGCTTTGCAGCTCTTATGAGTCCTAGTAATTTAACAACATACTTACGTGTTAACAAAACCAGATGAGAGTTTTCTTAATGTTGCTTGACTTTCAAGTAATCCGTCATCAACAGGATTCATCTAAAAAGGAGTCGGCTTAAAAATTGCTAGTGAAAATTTTTTTATTAAATTTCTTTATAAAATACTAATTTTTTTTTAATTACTAAATTGTCTATAAATACAATAAATAATAATATTCATCCAAATAAAATTTTTTCAATAAATAATCAAGAAAAAATTCCCACAAAGAATAATAAAAAACAATTAATTATGGTATATTTTTGACCAAGTTTATTAATTGTTTAACACCGACAATCCTAAAAATAATCATCGTTTAAGTAATATTAACATGTAAAGAATTTTTAAATTATATTTTAATAATGCTTACCATTTTCCACAAGAGTCCATTCTAGTAGTCATCAAATTAAGTTGAAGGCTATTTGCTAAATTATAATCACGAGCTTCCATTGCTAAAAAGATATAAATATATAAATAATAAATTATTTTTTCAATTAAACCAATTATAAAATCGATTGACTTACCTCGAACTATTTCCATCATTGATTCAATCACATCAGGTAAAATATCTTCATTATTTAAAGCATCAAATAAAATGTTGAGACGTTTCTCTGTATCATCTAATAATTTTTTATTATGAGGCTTCATATTTTAATAAAAAATTTTTTAAAATATTAGTAAAGATGGCATAAATGTAACATAAATAACAGAATTTTCAAAATTAGTCAATTTACAGGATTTTGTCTTGCTCTCGATAATTCTCTGGACAGAACATCAAATATTGGTTTATGTGCATCAGGAATATGAGATCTGTCACCAGGAGCTAAATAAAAAAACATAGAAAATAAGAATATTGATAAAATATATAAATTTTGAATGTTTGTAAAAATAATAATAAACTTACAATGTTTATTTACAGGAGTTTTCGCAGGAGTTGGTGCTCTTGCAGGAGTTGGAGTTCTTGCAGGAGTTGGAGTTCTTGCAGGAGTTGAAGCTTGTGGTGATTGTGAAGGAACTGGTGGTGCTGTTGGTGGGACAGCAGGCTGTTGAGTAGTACGAGTTTGTGGTGGTGGTAAATTTGTTGGTTGTGCAGTTTGTTGATATGGACCAGCACCACCTGGAGGTTTACGATTTGCATAAGCTGCTGCAGCATTTTGTGGAGATTGTTGTTGCTGATGCTGTAGTTGCTGTTGCTGGTGCTGATGTAGTTGGTGCTGCTGATGCAGTTGTTGATGATGTAGTTGTTGTTGCTGTTGTTGTTGATGATGTAGTTGCTGTTGCTGTAGTTGCTGTTGCTGTAGTTGCTGTTGCTGTTGCTGTTGCTGTTGCTGTTGTGGCGGTAATAATGACGGTGGTTGATACTGTTGAAGTTGCTGCGTTTGTAATGGTGGTGGATAATGTAATGGTGGTGGTGGTTGTTGTTGTTGTTGTTGTAAGTGAGGAGGAGGAGGTGGAGGTGGCAATTGTTGCTGTTGCTGTTGTAATTGTGGAGGAGGGGGAGGAGGGGGTAAGATGCCTTGTTGTCCTTGTAATTGAACAGGAGGAGGCACCATACCTTGTGGTACAAATGTATTTTGGTTTTGGAACGGGGTTGTAATTGGAGTTAGTTTATTAACTTGAGTTTGATTAGTTTTTTTGGCAAGTTGAGATGATGGAACAACAGGTGGATCATTCCAATTGGCAAGGTTTTTTTTGTTTGCAGCAGGAGTAATATCTGTTGGTGAGTTTTGATTCTGAACATTAGGGTTTGCAAAAGGTTGCGGAGGTGGTGGGATAAAACTTGTATTGGTAGTAGTCGTAGCGGAATCTTGATATTGAGGTTGATTATATGCAGGATAAACTGGCTGCTGATACGGATAACCAGTATTAGTTTGATTTTGAATTGGTGAATTATATTGTGGAGCATATGGATTATTGTTATATGGCGTTTGTTGAGTTTGTTGATAAGGAGGCACATTTGGAGCTACAGGTTGTTGATTATAATTGTATTGATTAAAGTAAGGTTGTTGTGCAGCTATTAGCGGATCAGCTATTTGTTGTTGTTGCTGTTGTTGTTGTGGAGTATATGCTTGGGCAAAGTTTTGATTAATTTGTGCAGCAGGGTATGCAGATGTATCAGTAGGTGCAATGGCTGTTGGAATTATTTCACCTTCACCAACAACGTGTTTCTCTTCAAATGGAAATGGTGGTGCTTTAGTTCCACCAACATCAACTCCAGATTTATATAAACGATCTCTAACCACAGCCAAAGAATCGATTTTATTAATATTGGATTTTTTATAATCTATTGGTGTTAAATTTAAATATTTGAGTGCAGTGGTTAATCGTCCTTGAGATATTAATATTTCAGCATATTCGGTATACTTGTCATATAAAGGAGCTAGTTTATAATGGCGATGTGGTTGTTGTTGATTTAAATCTACTGATCCATCCAAATTTTGAATCAAATCTGAATCAACATAATCAATTGCTTTACGAAACACGGTAACCTTTTCAATTAAACTCTGTAAAGATTTTGCATGATAAAAGAATTTAGAGGAAGGACTTGGGAGTTCTGACGATGATGATAAATTTTGAGTGGCTTTCTCAAGTAAACTTTGTTCCTCCTCCTCTTGTTCAGCAATCCAAATGTTAACCACATTTTCTAAATTTCCTGCTGCCAGATAACATAAAACTGCATTTCTTCTATATTCTGATCCTTGTGCTTTCATTTCATTGGTT